TTTTAAGAACGTTGTAAGCTATTCACTGAATTTTATGATGGCATGATAGCTTTCAAGCATGGGGATATTTTAGACTTTGTTTAAGACAGCTTTATTACTGTTTATGAAGTAATTTTTTAGTACAAAAATTTTAAATTAAAAAAAAAATTGTACTAAGTTACTGTTTTATAAAATAATAAGAAAGATGTCCCAAATGAAGCCATAGTATAAGACGGTGGCTAGCTCCGTATACGCTTCACCTCACTCTGCTATTTGGCTAGAGCATTTGTGGCTTACTATCTTGATTGGGGCTTATCAATATAGATGTTAAATGTTAGATGTTGAATGTATATTATTAATAAATTTGGTGTTCGCAATTGATGTGATTAGATAATGACACTATTTGTATATGTTGGATGCATGTTTTTTTGCGGGTCAAAAATTATCTAAGGTATGCTATTTGAATGGATTATAGTTATACATCAATCAAAATCATCTCATAATCTAGTGGATGACTTTAATTTAGGCTTTGTTTCGAACAATTTTCTTACCTTTTTGTTTTTCAAATTGCATTCATTATTTTTATTTGATAATTATTTTTTACTGCTTATAATAAATTTTAGAGATAGGAAGCTACTTTAGATAATAACTTTACAATCATCTTTATAAAAAAACTACAATTGTCCCAAATGAAACCTAAGTTAGAGCCCATAGGCTTTGTTTCGAACAATTTTCTTACCTTTTTGTTTTTCAAATTGCATTCATTATTTTTATTTGATAATTATTTTTTTACTGCTTATAATAAATTTTAGAGATAGGAAGCTACTTTAGATAATAACTTTACAATCATCTTTATAAAAAACTGCAATTGTCTCAAATGAAACCTAAATTAGAGCCCAAGTTCGAGACCCAAAGAGAACAATGTGTATAAATCCCTATTTAAGTAATCATGACTTAATGGGAATTGTTGGTTATATTTGTTATTATTATTATGATAAGTTCTATTCTAATCCTCCCCAAAGTCTTTTCCTACCATCTATACATCTCCTAAGACTAGCCAACATAATCAAAGCCTTCAAAATCAGATTAAATTCCACTTAGAAGCTATATATCTTAACCTAATCCTCCATAATCATTTCTCACCATTTAGCTCTCTTAAAATTTGTTTTTTTCTCTAAAAAGTTAAATAAAGTAAGCCCGAACTAACACAAATTGAGCTAGTTTTTCTTAGTCCATCCATGCCTCCACATCATCCTTCATCATAAACGCCAAAAACCTAAACTAATTCTCAGTTCTAGCAATCAATCCCATTCTAAATCCTCGAAACCCTCATCAACTGGTGTACTAATATATATTACTGTGTATTTAGCTATGTATTATTGTCTATCAGTCTGTGTTATATGTGTACTGCTGTGTATTAGCTAATACACAACAATACACAGTTAATTCTACAGTAATACATAGTAATACCCAATAATATTTAGTCAACATGTCATATTTTTATTAGAGTTCGAACATGACTCCACGCCGGATATACAAGTATCTAATAATTTCTTCTCAAATAAAATCTTAATGTTTTAAAAAGCTGCTGTCTGAAATTTTTTTTAACTGCTGTAGAAATCTAGTTTTAAATAGAACGCATCGCGGCGCACCCCACGCATAGCGCATAGCTTCGATTATCTGTACGTCGCGGCGCCCAGCTCGCTTGTGAGCGCATTGGCTCGCAGATTAGGAGCAGCACTTGAAGTTGAGAGATGGAGCACACTCAAAAAGATTCACCACTGGAAGAAAAGACAAAGCAACGGAAAGTTAGCAGAACAGAGAGAGAGAGAGAGAAGGAAGCCTTAACACAAATAAAGGTTAAAGCCTGCTGTAATCTCATCATAATCCTCATTATAGGGTGCGGCCACGCTTCCCTATAAAGCGGTTCCCACCTCATTTCAATCCCGACAAACTATTCATTCCCTCACTTTGGAGTGAGGAGGGAGAGAGAATCTCTTTCAATTTAAGAGAAATTATTTATTATAAAATATTTTTTCTAAAAATTATTAAAATATTTTATAGAGTTATAATATAACATTAATAAAAAATTTAAAATAGATTATAAAGTTTATAATTATTATTCAATTCATCAATCATAATAAAATACAAAACTTTACTTTTAAATTTTATTTTTTATATATTTTTAATATTTAGTTATATTTGTATGATTTTGATCACCCTAAAAAAACTAATTATGTACGTATTAACATATAAAAATTTCTTATATATGTTTTTCAAGTACTGATAAGCATTCGAGCTCATTTGTATAGAATTTCATATTTTTTTCAAACAATTGCATCATTGACGAAAAATAGAACTGAAATTTTAAACAAGTCAAAAAATATACTCGAAACTTTAAACGGGTCGAAAAAAAGATCCCGAACCCGATCCAATTTGAAATTGAGTTGACCCGAACCCGAAAATATCGAGTTGGGTTCGAGTTGTGTTTTCGTGTCGTGTCTATTATTGACACCCCTACTCCTTGGCACTCATAATTAACAAGCAATGCTTTAGTCTAAAAAATAACTACCTTATTTTGGAAAAAATGTATATGTAAAAATTATGATTTAATTTTTAACTAAGATGAGTTTTAAATGTATTAATTTTTATAAAATAAATGGTATTAAGATGTATTGCCTAACTATTACTTTCGGTTCGAATTTATGGTTCAGATTGTCGGTGCGAGGCCATTCCCGCTTCCTATTCAAAATTAATTTCCTTAGTATTAAAATGAGGCCTCTGAAATTTTTTATATATTAATACACACGCTGAAACATTAAGGAGTGGGGAGGTTGAAGTGGTTGCAACCAAAAGCGCCATGAAAGCAGCGTTGGGGACTTTGGGTTAGGAGATGGTGAATGCAACATACAGTAATAATTATGATAAAATTATCTTGATCGGTCATGAATCTCGAGACAAAATCAAGTTGGAAACTTCAAAAATTAAATCCGGGACCATCTAAACTATGATTTCTACAAACTTACAGTCGAACTAAATGTCTCGAAAATATGAAACCAACAGCACCAAATTCGACTCAATCCGAGCCCAAATGAGTCCAATCAAAAACCCAAAGCACATTTGGAAGGTTCAAACCACAAATTGGATGACCAAACGGTTATTAAACATGACATTCTTATAGTCGAATCGAGTGGCTCAACGAGACGAATCCAACGAGCCCAAGATCACCTAATTCTGATATCATTAAGACATTTAAATGCACAGTAAATAATCCATGATCAAGGGAATCAACATTGGTCGTCCATTCAAACTACTCTCGTGCCAGAAGGGAACGAAGCAAGGAAGAGAAGGAGAGGAAGAAGGAAGAGAAACATAAGATCTCTCTTGTCACCAAGCTCCTCATCGACTTCCACCCAGACTTCTGTCAAACCACAGCCAGCCGTCGGGCTTTCGTCTACAAAATATATGATATCACCAAGTCTACAAAAGGTCATTGTCCTAAAAGTTATGCCTTTGCTTCCAAATTTTAATGTGATTTTACCTATTTTATCATCAATGCCATTTTGCCTCGATCTGAAAGTTCTTTACTGAGGTCTAACATTCACCAAATGTTCGCTTTCATTATAGAAATGGCTCATCTTAGCAATCACTTGATTTGTTCTTTTTTTTTTACCTGGACTTGCTCTCGTGTCGTTTGCTGAGATGTTCTCTTCTATATATTGTTGGATATCGTTGCTTCTTTCATATGGTGGGATTTTTTTGAACTATGATGAATTCTGCATTGCTGGGTGATCTTATTTTGTATCGCATTCTAAGATCATCTCCAACCGTTCGGCAAACAATCGAATGGAGGCCCTCAAACGTCGCAACCGAACGCCTTTTCCTTCGCCTTTTGATTGCGGATGAACAGTGTGATGCCAATATTGACGTCGCACTGTTCATATGCGCCATTTTTTTTATCTCTACCGAACTTGCGGAAGAAAGACGCGAAAGAAGAGAGCGACGGTTAGAGGGCAAAATGACGTTCGATTGGAGATGAATCACGGAACTTTTTGGTTTCACTACATTTTGGATTAAAAAAATGAGATTTTCGGTTGGAGATGCCCTATGTTCTTTAAGTCTAACGGCATTTTATTTTGGCTCTTTTGTTTCATCTTACAATTACTTGTCGTGATTGCTCGTTTTGCTGTGAGTAATATGATTTATTTTATTACTCTTCAGCTTTATATTTTGGTATACATTATAAGCTCAAGCTTGAGCTTGGCTTAGCTTGATTCATCGGCTTATTTAACTAGCTTAATTAATATTAATTAGCACATTGACATTTACGTTTATCTAATTAATTATTATATTATCCAGATTCAAAATAAGAAATCCAGCTCCAAAATAGATTAATACAAGCTTTCTTGTTAAACTTGAGCCTCATATTTTTCACTCCCGCCCAAATTTAAATTAATTAAGTAAGAACTCAACTCGTCTCAACCAACATGGAAGTATTACACTCATCTTATTTTTAAGTAGCTAAATAATATTATTTTTTAAATTTAATAAATTATAATTAAAATTAATTTCCTCTTCATGGTAAATGACTGGTTGGCCCAATTGAGATATGACGCGCTATTATTATCTCATATATTTGTTTATTGCACATACAGATGAGCGTATGCGATATAAACAGTACAATTATTGCTCTACAACATAATTTTATAAATAAATTATTTATATTTTTTATTCATAAGAATTGTAAAATCCCCAAAAAACTAAAATCAACCGCGGTCAAAGTAAAAAATAAATTTATTTAATTACAATTTTTTTTCTATTAACATAAAACTATTTTTATTTTCACTTCCCAAAGAATAAAGCCCAAGAGCTCATACATTCAAATTTTCTTAGAAGGTTAGTTGTGCAAATAATCAAATTGTTCGAAGAAAATATGACAGTAAATTATGGTTCCTGTTGCAAAAAAATAAAACTAACACAAACAGATTTGTAAACAAAAGATAATATTTTGTAAAATCTAATGAAGATGAATTGAACTATTTATATATGGATGAAAAATATTACAAATGATATAACTAACCGATATAATTTAGCGAATAAAAAACGGTCAGACTAAATCTATTATATCTTTCTCCTTCCTAAACCTACTACTAACAATAAATGAAACAGCTGGAAGCGTACATTGACCCAAATCCTCCCTCGTAACTAAGAATCCTAGAAAAGGTGGAAAAAAAGAGCCAAAACCTAGTAAATAAGGGAAAGCTAATACAAATCCTACCTAAATTACCAGACCGTTACGGTATGTTAAACTATTCCGGTCTACAAGAGGAGAGGACCAAAAGATGTGGCCGGCTTTTCGGGCCGGGTTTGATCAGCAGGTACTGATCGGCGGGGCGGAGGAGACGAGGACCTGATCGTCCTTCTTCCGGCGCATTTCGAGTACTTTTCGGTGGCTGTTGGAGTGGATGTTGCTGACGAACGTTGGACTGCAAGCCGGCCGGTACTCGGGAAGCAACCGGCCGGACTTGAAGCGGACGCCGCAGGCGTTGCAGAGTGTTTTGGCACCCTGAGGACCAGCGCGCCACTGTGGCGTCTTGTGAACGCCGCAGTGCGTGCAACGTCTCTCTGCGGGTGAGATTATGGGGTTCTTTGGCTTCCGACCTCGTTTTTTGGGTTTCTGGGGTTTAGGAGGGGCTGAGCTGTCGTCAGGGAGGAAGCCGGTGAAGGGAGGGGGTTCGTACGAGATGTAAGAGTTAAATGATGACGAGGATGATGATGAGGAAGGAGAAGGTGATGCGGTCCTTAAGGTGGTGATGGAAGAGGTGGGGGAAGAGTCAGAAAGTTTAACAGAGCTAGAGCATGACCAGCCGCTGCCGCGGAGGCGTTTGCTTCGCTTGGCTTTGACGGGAACGAGAGCTTCTGTTGAGAGGCTGCCGGCCGCCGTGGCCGTACTGTACAGCGATGGTACCGGAACCGGCGCCAGCGTTTGAGAGCCGGCGGAAGAGTATTTCGACAGGGGAATTTGAGTTGGGAGGGAAGGCAGCATGCCTAAATGCGACGGTGGAGGAGAAGGAGAGGGGAACTCCTTGGAACAATCGTCGTCGCAGAAACGTGAGAGCCATTCAAGTGAAGCCGCATCGGTCTCCTGCATAATTTACACCTAAAACTATGAGAAATTGATCAGCTTACCCATAAAATAGCCTTTTTTAAGACAGAAAAAAAAAAGGCAACGCTCTTACAGCAAGAGCGAAAGTTATTTCCGTGTACAGCCCAAGAGGCTCATTATCTACACAAGGAGAAGGTTTCGGCGGAGAGAAGCTGGCTTCCGTGACTCTCGGAGCCTCCTCATCTTCTTCAGACTCTGGAAGACCTCTAAGGTCAAGGAGGTCTTCGACCTGGAATTCCTCTCCAAGAGGATTCCCCCTGTCCGCCGACCACAATAAATCTTCGACCTCGTCGGGTAGAAACCCCTGATCACGCGCCGAGGCGAGCATATCCTCTATTGTCGTCATCTCAACCTGTACATCGTTTAACAAAAAAAAAAAACTTCTTCAGGTAGGGATAAAAGGAAAGGAGCCATTTTTCCTCTGTTCTTCATCTAAAGACGGAATTTTAACCCCTTCAACGATGTTGCCATACCTGAGACGAGCGCGGGTACGGCGGCGGGGGAGATACAAGCCGACCGGCGAAAAGCGGCAAGGCTGATGACGCCGACCCCGCAGAAGCGGAAGAAAGCGGAATAGTGCAAGGGGAAACGGAGGATGAAGAAAAGGGGAAGGAGACGAGCGTTTGGTGGAGCATTGAATGGCTGCAAAGAATCCGTGGCCCTAACAAATGCTCTCTATCTCCGCCTTGTTTCGCCGTTTCTTCTTTTTTCTATATTTTGTTGCTTTAGCAATACATCTCTCTATATTCTATCACGAACTATTTCAAATCCTGAATTACCATTGACTTATATGCCCCATCCCTTAAACCGTAAAATATACCTTTATTATTTTCTACCGCATCATTTTCGCAAATTTAAAAAAAAAAACTTTTTTAATTAGAATTTAGAGTGTTAAAATTACTTGTAATGATCCTTAACAAATGTCATTAAATAATTGATCCGCAATGTCCTAATCCGACAGCGAATAATGTACCGCACATGTCGCTCCTGCCACCTGGCATAGACCTTCACTAGTGAGAAAGATCTCACCATTTATTCACAAAATTTCAAATATTTTCTCTTTGTTAACGGATAAAATCGACAGATCACCTCGAAACGGAGATATAGGAACGAATCCAAAGCAGCGTTTTGGACTTTACTACCCTTGAATTAGAAGCGGAATTACCTCTTCGAAAACGAGGGGGTCGGAAGCGGAAGGGCATTAAAGTCCAAGGCGTAATTTATTGCGTGATGCCAGGGTATCCTCGTAATATTCGGTCCGAATTTTCCATTATTTAAACATTTTTATTTGCTTCCTCTTTTTGCCTGCCGTCACGACGTCGGCCCACGCGGTTTACGCAGCCCGACTCGTCAAACTCGTCGGGCTTGACCCGAATCGATGGCAGGTACGTAATGACGATTATAGCCCTATAGACTTCCCCTTTTTGGACGGATAGGATTCCCTCCGTGTGATGCAAGCAACGTGGTATAACAGGAAATGCACATTCGCCGGGGGTTTTACCGGAAAAGTCTTCTACGTGGCGGTCCGCCTGGTCGCTTTCCGAGCTGGCGGCCGCCCACCCACGTCGGCTTGCGAACGTGTCAGCGTCTGATTAGTGGAGGGAAATTATTTTCGAATTCGAAATGGGAGATATGGTCACCGCTAGGTGAGTATATGGTATTGTATTGTATTGATATTTTAACCATGGGCAGACAATGAACGTTACAAATTAGGGGATGCATTGCCGCCCCGCCGGTTTGAAATAATCTTTGCGACATTACCGCTTTGTATGGTATAGTTGTAAATATTAAGACGAGTTTGGCTCATTTTGACACACACCATTAAAATAATTTAATTTCTTGATTTTTTTTTTTTTTTTATATGCTGCACCGCTCCAAAACAGTAAAGCTTCCTTTGGAACTGTTTCCATACAGTTTAGCCTCCATTGGAACAGTTTTCATAGTGTTTTGATTTTCAAATGATAATTTTAATTTTTAATTGATTATTATTATTTTTTTATTTAAAAAAAATATATTAAAAAGATGTTTCTACAACAACTTTGAAAAATTATTTTGTTACAATAATTAAATAAAATAATTAAAAAGTTATCTCAAATAAAATCTAAAAATACTTTTTCATTGCTCATTTGAAAGTTTAAAAATTGTTTGTTCATTCAATCTATTTATGTATGCAATTTAAGTAAGCATGTATTAAAATGGATGTTTTGTCCATGATATAAAATTATGTCGATATCATTGGCAGCAATATATTAAAAAAAAGATATTTACAGCTTGTTTTTTATAAAATGATGTGCAAATTCGAGTCAAAGTCATTTTTATCGATAGAATTCATAAATAATAATAATAATAAATTATGTGCTAGAAAATTTGAGTCGGTAGAATGAGTGTTTTACATCTCAACGTCTTATAAAAATTTAGCGCAAACAAATAAAAATAGTAAGAGCAGAAATTTTTTATATGAAAATCCAAAAAGGGAAAAATCACGGAGTCTGACTCAATTGAAAAATCCATTATGTAGAAAGAGATACAAGAATCATCCTTTCTTCGAGAAGAGAGGGATTAAACAGCAACTTTCCCTGTGGGGATTATAAAAATCATTATATAGGGGTAACCTATACCCAACATTAGTGCTTGATTTCTCTAATAGAAATTATGGAAGATAGGTGTTCACACACTGACAGTTATACCCAACAATAGTCTTAAATCTTGTTAGTATTTTGATGATGGTAGAGATTTCTGATGTTGATCCTCGGTGACAAAATTGATTGTCAGTAACAATAGCTTATAGTGGTTGTTGGTGACGATGGTTGGAAAATTCAATAGAACTTTCTTTAGTTCTTGTATTACTCCTCGACCCTCATGTGAAAAAACAGAGCTTATTTATAAATTCTTAGGAACGATTTGCTCTGTAAATATGAAAAAGATCTAGAGCAAATTTGGAGTACTCCATCAGATAGCCCATATTGAATCCCTCGATCATAGAGGGTTCATCAAGCATTTAAATGCTTTAATGATGATAGAATTAAGTGATCTTAAGCTCGTTGGATTCGCCTTGTCGAGCCTCTCAATTCATCTATATGCATGTTATATTTGGAGACTATTTGGTTATTCAATTAATGCTTCGAAGCTTCTAAATGGACTTTGGTCCCTTGATTTGGGCCCTTTTGGGCTCAAATTTGACCGATTTTGATGTCGTTAGGTTCGTCTTATAAAAACATTTAATTTGACTATAAGTATATTCATATTGGACTTGGGATGGTCCCAAATTTAATTATGAAAGTTTTTCAATCCAAATCTTACCTTGAAATTTGCACTCCTAATCAAGACTATTTTTAATGGCGTATATGTAATCCCTTAGTTTTGGATGTCAATGATCTCAGAGTTTGAATGTATGAATCTTTAAAAAAAGTTTGTGATAAAAAATAAAAAGTTCAGATAAATTACGTTACATGACCGTTCTAAGGATGTCAACATGGAACTCAACCTCGAGGCTATGAACTAAGTAAAATATATTTATTCATAATTTTACACTACATGAAATTCAAGCATTATTGGCGATTTTTTTCGGCGATCATTGTTAGATTTATGGCGGTTTCTTGAAATACCTGCGGTTAGAAAACTGCAGGAATAAACCTCGTAAGAAACGATTTCTGACTGTTATGCTTACCGGTGGCTTAAACAGCCAGTAATTTCTGGCGGTCATAATGCAGGTGACCGCCAGTTAATCACCAGCGGCTTACCGGCCATCAAAACCACAGATTTTACAAGCACCAAACTGACGGGTTACCGACGGTAAACTGTCTTATTTATCAGTGGCTATAATAAGCTGTCCGGTATCGAAGTTTTCGGTGACCAAACTGACAGTTGGCCGCTGGAAACCTATAGCATTTAAAAAAAATTGACAACCTCCCCTCTATTTACTCAATTTTCTACAAGCCTCCTTTTATGATGTCGACAAATATCTGAGTCATTCGTTATTGTGTGTGACCAATTAACTTGCAAACTCTACTAAACATGTTTAAAAATTCCAATGTACGGTGGGAGTATATCTATGAACCCTTAAAAGTCATAAAATACTTACACCCTTGTTTCACAAGCACTTATAAATTTTATAAACATGTTTTATGATTTTTCAAATCTTAGGCATGTAAAGGTCTAGGGTATTCATTTTGCAACATGTTGTACACAAACTTAATCGACTATGTCATTTATGCGATCCACAACATAAACCTTAAAAGATATATGATAGATCTCATAATGACTATGCTTCTAAGTTGATTAGTTTGTACTAAAGCACTTACAAAACAACTATTAAAGTTCATAAACTTCAAAGTGTACATACACTTATACATTGCAAATCATTCTTGTCATGATCTATGTCTTAAAAATAAATACATGCAAATGAGAAAAAGGAAAAGTTGTAAGTATATGAACAATCCTAGATGCTAGGATTACTTGTCACTTTGTATAGTCACTTTGGCTTGAAAGTAGCATGAATATATTCACATAATTCTAAAAGGGTAGTTGAGTACAACCTCTAAGGAAAAGCAAACACCAAGGTATAGACTCTAAGCTAGGTTGACCTCCATAATTCAAGTTTACCTTGAACTTCCTCACTAGTCTTATCAACAAGAAGGATATCATGAGCAAAAAAGCAAACACTAAGGTATAGACTCTACGCTAGGTTGACCTCCATAATTCAAGTTTACCTTGAACTCCATCTCTAGTAGTATCAACAAGAAGAATATCATGAGCAAAAAGTAAACACCAATGTATAGACTCTAAGTTAGGTTGACCTCCATAATTCAAGTTTACCTTGAACTCCCTCTCTAGTCTTATCAACAAGAAGAATATCATAAGCAAAAAGCAAACACCAAGGTATAGACTCTAAGCTAGGTTGACCTCTATAATTCAAGTTTACCTTCAACTCCCTATCTAGTCTTCTCAATAAGAAGAATGAAATTGCACTGATGGCACTAGAAAGTTCGTTAGGGATGTTAAGCCCTTATGAAGTAGTCACAAGGCTAACCAAGAGGGGGGTGAATTGGTATTTAAAAAATCTTTTGATCAGAAACACAATCTTAAAACAAAATCAAGATTCACCATGGAATTCAAAGTGCGAAAAGTAAATGCGGAAGCAACAATAAAGAATACAGAGATTTATAGTGGTTCGGTCAACACGACCTACGTTCACTCCCCGAAGGCGCCCTCTGAGTATTGCACTAAACTCAGTGTCTTTCCTTTTGCCCCCACAGCAAGACGGAGAAGCTTATACAAATCTCCTTTCCACCAACCTAGGTGAGACAAAAAACCTAACTCCTTTTGCTTCCTTTAGAAGCAGGTAGAGAATCCAATTCCTTTTGCTTCCTCCTAAAGTAGGCAGAGAACCCAATTTCTTTTGATTCCTCCTGAAGCAGGCAGAGAACATTGATCAAATGCTGAAGTTTACCTCTCTAGAACCCCCAAGGAAGCAAGGATGATGACTGGAGAAGATAATGATTAATCCTTGGTTGGAGCAACCTTTGTCAACTCCCTTACAAACTCTCCCTCACGAGATCCTCTCTCTCTCCCCCTTTCTCTCAATCTCCTCTTAGCTCTCTCAGGTTAGAACAACAGCAAAAGATGTTCTTAAGGGTAGAATAAGAGCTCTTAAATAGAAGAGTTTTGAAATAGCTCTTATTTTATACAAACTGACTTTATCGTCCAGGACGATATGGATATCATCCTAGCCAATTAGCATAAATTTTGCTCGATCAGCCTGATC